TCTGCCATCAGCCTTAGGATGCCGTCATATGCAGCTAATGCAGCGTAACTTGCGTACTGAACAGAGCGCAAAACAACGTGACGATTTACGACGAAGACGTAAACGTAGATTAGCGCACAAGCTTTGGCGTACGTCGTACGCGCCTCCAATTGCACATGACGTTACGTAGCTGCGTGCGAAAACATTACTCGAGTGCCCCGGTGTATCATTTTATCCTTGTTCACCATTTGGTGAACAAGGAAGATAAAATAATACACCAGGGCACTCGGGTGAGGTCTCCGAACGCAGCCCATTGGGTGCTTTCCAGCAAGAGACACAGATCGACACGGTGTAACGCAGAGAATCGTTTTATCCTCGTTTAACAGTGGCAAACAACAAAGATAAAACTATTTACTGTGTTACACAGTGTCGCCTGTGTAGTACGTCGCTGGAAAGTACCCATTTACACCCAAGCTTGTGCGCTGTCCACGTTTACTCGCGTCTTTGTCGTAAGCTGTTACGATAAGGGCCTGAGCAGAACGGCTGTCTTATGCCCTTAAGACAATGTTTTATGTTTTAAGCCTCTGTCTTGAGGAACGCACAATAACTGTCTTATGTCTTAAGGCCCGAGCACACGAAAAAACTTGAGCTGTAAAATTGAAGACTTAAGAGAAATGACCAATGGCTGTCGAGAATGTAAGCAGCCATTTTGATGCTCGAGCAATGCTGAAAATTCTAATTGAAATTCGTAAGTCTTAAGTCTTACTGTTTAAGTTTCTTCGTGTGTTGCCAGTTTTAGGGTCTGAACAGTTAATGGCTGTCTGGTATTGTTAAGTCACAAGGCAGTTGTTGTTTTAAAACACAAAACATTCCCGGGGAAAAAAAGACACATAACGAATTTTATTTAACTAGACAACACAAGCGCGCGCCTCGCGTGCGCCATTTGCTCTATCTAAAAATTCGCATGGTTTGACAGCCGCAAATAACACGACTGCAGCATGTTGTGTCGCACAAGCGAGACGGCCAATCGGATTATATCCAAATTCCCGATCGTGAATCCTTTCTTCCAGCGTGAATTCGTGAAAAGTGAAGAATGTTTATTAACCAATATTGAATTCGTCAATGAGATTTTTCACGAGTTCACGCTGGAGGAAAAGATTCACGATCGAGTCCCTGATGTACGAGCGTATGTTCGCCAATTACCTCTCGGTCTCTCAGATTGTAGCCGAACCCCCATCGGCAGACGCTGAGCCAGGCGCATAACGAGAGCATGAGCAGGATAAGAGCGAACGGGGACGCGTGTATGTGCACGACGAACATTTGTTCATGTCACTCTACGTCGTGGTGCCACCTCGTATCTCCCTTCAGCTTCTTTGGGCGACGCATACCTTCGCCGTGTCGTCAAGACCGAATTTCTTCGACGCGATTTCGCTCCCCATCCCTGTGTCGGATACAGCACGAATCCATTCTTTTTAATTTTCCGATTTCGGAATTCCGTTTCCATTCCATTCCGTTTCCTATTTCCGTCCCAAGACTTTGAGAACTCAACAAGGATCTACTTTTACGTCGCCAATTATGCTCTGGAATTATTTCGAGTTCATCATGAATGAACAGCGTACGTTCATTTCATGAGGGATTTAAAAAAGCGAATCCTTCTTGAGTTCACAACGAGATCACCTGCGCTATATGAGTATCAAATCTTTCCGGGTCGGCTGCTTCGTGATCGGTCCCGTCAAATGAGCCTCGTGAAAGGGATATTTGTTATTCTGACAAAAACCCGTCAGCAGGTCGTCAATAATTCACGCAACATTTTCATGCATCGGCATTCACGAGTTTTTCCCGATGACACCTTGGAAATAACTGGAAATTTTGTAAAGGTGATATCCGTTAACTGGACACTGACAGAAAAGATTTACTTCGGACAGCGATGCATATCGAAAAAGTGTCTCGTTTCTGTTTTTTTTCCCCCCGCTAAGTTCCGTTATTTTCGGTAAGGCAGCGAAATTGGTAGTAACCGTTTGATCGATAATTCGCGGTAGCAGCACGTGGGGACGGTCAACGGGTATTTCGAGCTCGAAACGAATATTTTCCGATGCGAAAACGACCCCTCGGTGTCCTCTGAGAGAAACAATTCGCTGCGCAAAAGATGCCTCCGAAGAAGAAGAGAGAAATCGCGCCGAGGAAAGAGGCTGCGCAGGAGTTGGAACATCCTGAGTAAGCGAACGGATGAGAATTCACATTGTGAGATCGTCCCAAAAATCCAGTTATGTTTTCTTTATTCTTGACTTTACCTATTAATTATTCGTTATCCACGGTGATTTTTAGACCAATATCATTCCGAACTGTTTGCGTGTTTTCGTTTCGAAAGAGTAGAATGAAAATTCGGAGTAAAAATGGAAGTACGAAATCGAGATACAGGACTGAGCGATATTAGGTCCGTTATTCTGTAGACCGGAAGCGGAAGTCGCGGAGACAGCGGAGCCGGAACCCCCGAAGCAGGTGTCCCTGCTAACCGGGGAACCTTATGGGCCGCGAATTCGTCTTGTTAGCGAGAAAGCCGAGGAGGAGAGCTCGGACGACGAGCCGGAGTCCGAGAACGAGGAAGACGCCAGATATCTTCAGGAAGATCATCCGGAAGTACCTTCCGAATTCTGGAACATACAGAAGCTCATCAAATATATGAAGGCCGGCAACCAGACCGCCACCATGGTATCCTTATGCTTGCTGAAGGACAACGATCTCACCGACAAGGTTTGTTACGCTCCTTTGTTAGAAGATTTATCAGTTTATACATTAGGCTCCAAAAAGTGTCAGCTATTACATAATGGACTGCATATAGACTTGTTGTTTCTTCAATTTGCTTCGTTCTCTCACTCGTCGATCTTTTACTTTTTTCAATTTGAAATAATCTCTGTATTCGCATGGACAAATCTCGTGCGTGGTGGTGCAGATCATACAGAAGGTTATTCAAGAAATGGGCGGTCTCGAAGTTCTAGTGAATCTCCTCGAAACGAGCGACATTAAATGTCAGAACGGCTCGTTGTCAGTTCTGCTGCAAATCGCGACTTCCACGGAAATGAAGCGATATTTAATCGACTTGGACATCACGACACCATTGATCCAAATGCTGAGGCATCCAGCTAGAGATATCCAGGTTGTTAATCGACGACCTTTATCGCGATAGCTCCTCTTTATCGGTTTTCTCATTTATTACGCGCGAGATGCTTAATTTAGGATATTCCTATCGATTTATCAGTCGATAGCAGTTTCCTCAATTTAATAATATTGACGACCCAAAAACTTCAATTCTTTACGTAGTTATTGCTTCTTCGTTTTATCATATTATATTAATATTAATTTGTTATTCTATCAGATTTTGGCAGCCGAAACGATGGCCATTATAGCTCGTGTTAGAAAGGCCAGAAAACAGATCAGAATTCGCAGTGGAATACCGCTCATAGTAAGTTATCCGATTATATTCGTTAATATTCGAATAATATCCATTTCTATTAATGCAGATTAACTTCAACTTCTTGGTTTTGCTATTATGTCTTTCTGGCTCCAACGAATGAGCCCGTTCCCGGACTTTTCTGAAATTGCTACACACACGTTTAGTGTCTAAATGTCAAAGCATGTTTTCCAATGTGTAATGTGGCCAACATTACGATTTACTGACTCTCGGGTTTTTATTTGACAGCTGGACGTGATGGACGTACCGGACGAGGTTCTTCGCCGGCCATTCGACGACTTGAGCGAGGCTAGCAAAGAACTCGTGGCCGTCGCCATTGGCTGCGCCAAGGTCCTAGATTCCTTAGGCAGCAGTCCGAAGGTCAAGGAGGAGCTTCGCAAACACGGTGTCGTTCGTTTGATGTCGCGTTTTCTGAGATCGAAACACACTCAACTGATCATACCCACGATGGGCATCGTGCAGCAGTGCGCTGATCTGGTTTATTGAATTTTTTCCCTCTATCTATTAATGAAAATAATATAATCATCTGTCCATGAAAATGATTTTAATTAAGTTGAAAAATGCATATAATTAATTATGGAACACGTAATCATATAATATTGCTATATTAATAATAAAAAAACCTGTTAAACATCGTGAAATTTAAATGTCGCTATCACAGACCGCTACACTTATTCAAAATCCATTATCGCATTTATTAAACGGTTATAATTAGTTAAACTCAATTTCATAAATTTAAATGTTTCCCTATTGTTGGTGTCACATTTAGGTATTCGCATATTTGCAGAATGTCTTCAGGGAGGCGTTTGAGCGAGTGGGCATTATCAACGATTTGGTGCGACATTTGAAGAATGACAACGTGAAGCTAAAGGAGAACTCCGCCTTGGCCATTTTCAAGTGCGCTTCGAATCGGGAAACTCGAGCGATGGTGCGTCGAGCCGGCGGTCTGGACCCACTTTGCAAACTCGTGCAGAGCGACAAGGTGCACGCCAACAAGCGTCTGCTAGCCGCGGTCACCGGCGGTATCTGGAAATGCGCCATCAGTCCAGAGAACATAATGAGATTCAATCAGAATAGTCTGGTAGCATCGCTGGTGCCTCTACTCGAGGAGAACGAGGACGAACGGGTGTTGGCCAACGTCGTGGGCGCCCTTGCCGAGTGCTGTAAGGATCCCGCTAACAGGAACGTCTTGAGGACTAACGAGGGTCTACCGAAACTGGTAAAGACCGTTCGAAGTCGGGAGAACACTTCTGTCGTGATTTTCTTCTCTCTCCCTCTCCCTTTGTGTGTTATTGGACCAAACTTTGCCTCTCTACGTGTCAAACTTTGTATGCTTGTACATTAGAATCAAAAAAGGAAATAAGACCAACACAGTGGTAGTCTCAAAGATGTGACGTTACGAAATATCGAAATGTTTTTCCTTTTCGAATGAAGGATAATTTTTATGTATCTAAAATTATGTACATGGACACGAGATGTTTTAATTATATCACGTGTTTCAATGACTAGAATTACACTAATGTAATTACATTACAGCAAAGAGCGGGATAATTATTTAAAAGATTGGATGGACAGGGATATCTTTGATATTCAGAATAAGTATTCGAATGGAAATAATAAAATCGATAGTCGTGATTCTTTTAACGATTCTCGAGCAATTATTAGATGAATGCTCGGCGTGTGTGTTAATAATTAAATAACAATCAATTTTACTGGAATATCGCTGTGTTGATCCATTTACGTTTAATTATTCCATTCGAGTTTATATGAGAGATAATTTCCAAATGAGGCGAAAATTGGATTGCGCATCGGAGGGGTTCGTGAGCACCGTTCCCGATGATTAATCGAATTAACGTGCGCCAACGCCGTTCGCGCGACGATCGATGTTTCCTCGTTAACCCCGGTATTTGGCGATACCGCAGAATGAATACTTCAGAGATCTTTGCAGATTAGACTATTGAGCGCCACGTACGAGCCATTACTGGAGAACGTGCCATTGGTGCTGAAAGAGTGCGCCGTCGACGAGAGATGCATGGACATTATCAACGACCCGGACCATCGGCTGGACGGCGTGCGATTAGTTTGGTCCCTGCTGAAACACCCCAGCGATGTAATCAAGCGTAACGCTTGTCTCGCTCTGGTACCCTGCATCCGACACGCCAAGGATTCACCGGAAATGGTGCGTGCCTTCGTAGGCGGCTTGGAGCTCACGGTCAGCCTCCTGGAGAGCAAGGACACGGAAGTGCTCAGCGCGGTATGCGCGATGATCGCGGAGATCGCTACCGATCCTGAGAACTTGGGTATCCTGACGGATCACGGCGTCGTGAAAAAGCTGGCCGCCCTCGTGGAAACTGTTGGTTCACCGCCGCTCACGGCGTTTCTTTCTCAATTCTGTGCGGCTGCTTCATGGAAGATGACATACTTGCACAATAAGCGTAGTGTCAGCGGACAATTTAAACTTTTTTTGGTGAACGTGCGGAATAAAATTTAATGCGCGCTTACGAATGTGCTTCTTATCTTATACATATGTATATACCTGTAGTTCCTCGTGGTTTCTCTATCGAGTCAATTATTTAATTATGCTAACCAAAAGATCACTCCGTGTTTTTTCCATGAAGTAGTCGCATTTAAAGATTTTACTGACTATTAAATATTTTTAATCGATACGTCTGCGAGATAATGGAACTTGTTTTTTCAAGGACGACGAAAATTTGCGGGCAAATCTGACGTTGGCGATAGCCTATTGCTGCGATTGGGATCGGAACAGTTACGAATTCGGCAAATTAAACGCAGTCGCGCCGCTCGTTAATTACATGACGAGCAAGAACAAGGACGTGTTGAAGGGTGTTTGCATTGCCGTGTACCATTTGAGCAAGGAGCCCTTAAATTGCGTGACCATGCACACCTGCGGCGTTATCAAGGTACAATTAGGATCTTGCGTTTGTACACGTTAATATTGTTCGATATTTAAGCGCAACACTACAAAATCAAATCCTTAAAAAATTGTAGAAAGAATATTCTAAGGTGAAAATTCCTCACAAACTCTTGTAAGAATATGAACTTAGTATTATAAATGTTTATAATAATTGTTTAATATGAACAAATAGAGATATCTTTTACGAATCAATAGATATTTTCAAAATAGAAAGTTTAGTAAAAAAAATAAAGTCCAGTCATCTTTTTTTACATTCTTTAACATAATTTGATTAATTATCGGTTCAATGCACCAAGACGATAAATTGCATTTTCTGTGCTCTTCAAAAATACTAATTGAATCTGAAAATGTTAATGAAATTTTTTCAAACAGCACGTATTACGCTTGGTGGGCTCGGACGATCCAGAAGTGCAGATTGCAGCTGCATCTACTATTCGTCACATAAGAAAGCTCGCGTTGACTGCAGAGAAGTTTCACTTCAATGAAATGTAATTTTCTCACACTTTTTATGAATTTGAATCCTAAAAGCACAACCTAAATTCTATTTTAATGAAAAATGATTAATATTTCGTTTCTTACTTGTAACTCTAAATATTGGTAAATAATTCTTAGTTTATATTTGGTAAAATTCTAAAACAAATATTCATTTTATCGCAATCTCATTTATACCGGAACTTACAATAGTATTGTGCTCTTATAAATACATTTATTTGCGCTCTTCAGGATTAAATTATTTTAGTTGTTTTGCTTTTACTATTTAATGAAGCTGCTGTATACAATCATTTGGGGTTTTCACAGGAGCTCGTTACAGGAAATCGATTTCCGTTTGTGAATGACGTCAGTTAACAGCGGAAGAGAGAAAAAGAGAGGAAGAAGAGGAAGTGAATAAAATTAAAACATTTATTGTGGTGCGTGTATAGTGGTTTTAATTTCTATCAATATATCTAAATTTACATTTTTAAAACCCGTAATATTCTCTTCTCGGCAGTACCATATAAAGAATTTTGAGAGGATGGAAAGTGATGGAAAAAGACATAGAAAATTTTCCCTTAGATTTTCATAGGATTCACAAATGGAACACCGACTTGGTCGGACACGTGGTTATTAACTACTAAATTGTACAAGGTGGTGATTTAATTTGAGCAATATACACATATCCTAAGCTTGTTTCTATTATTTCAAAATAAAAGAGATTTAAGGATGTCGATAAAGTATACCATAAACATAAGAAGACGACTGCATGCAAGTTACGATGCACTCTCACATATATAATGTACAAATTTAAGCTAATTGTGCGTGTCGTTCCATTGACGACTCATGAACTAACTAGAAGGCATAATTCCTGATTCGTATCAGAAGTCGCCTTACCACGATATAACAATTAAATGGCAACATTAGTTATCAAACATTGAAAATCTTTAGATTTATCGATGTATATTTATGTATCTGAATATATCATATATCATTTCCCTTGAAACTTTACTATTTTTAAATATTTAAATCATCCTTACTAGCTTCTCAACAATGCCTGATAAACAACTTACCTAGTAAAACGTACCTAGTAAAAGCCGGTTTCACCAACATCAATATGATCCTTTTCAAATTGATACCGTAAATATTTCAAGATAAAAATCGATATATAATTAATGTTACTTAAAAATTTTTGGAAAAAAAAAATTAGATCAGATTAGAGTTTAATGTTGGTGAAACTTTCCTCTAAAAGTAAAGTATTCCAACACACAATATATCGTAAACGATTACGCAAATGGCAAAGACACACGCGATCAGTCTATCCTATTATACAAAAACACTCCAGGTTTTATTTTCAGACTGGCTCGGAATTACCATGAACGATAAGCCGAGCCTGTTTAAAAATAAAACGCTTTTCCATGCTGAAACTTGTTTTAACCACGATATTCTGTAATTTTGAAAGCAGGCTATTATATTGTAAATGTTTTTTTTATTTTCAGAGGGGAGCTTTTCTCGTTCGTGCATCCTTCATTATCTATTCACAATTTTGGACAGCTTTGGTTTTCCCTGATCCACTTGACAGTTGCTTATTGTATCTAGGATATTCAAAATTTCTATTTGTTTGGCATTTTCATCTTTGTAGTCGTTAATGTAACAACGCTCGATAATATTATGTAAACCACGAAATCCATGCCCTCTATCTCTCTTTCTCTCTCTCTTTCTCTCTGCTAGGAATGAGTAAAAAGGGAAAGACACAAATGGACTTTCTATTGTGCTCGACTTGTAGCTTCATTAATCTTGCTTGTTGGTCAGCAATGCCTCCGCCGCAGTCTTGACTGCTACAAAAATAATGTATCCTTATATTTCTGCTTTGACTGATGTTCGCAACTAAATATTCCTCTAGCATATCGGTCCACATTTTATGGGAAAGCCAGATTATTTTTTGTTGTTGTGTTGACAACAACAGCCTTACCTGTTTCACGTGCATTCGACAAGAGTCTGTCTAATCCAGGCTGATATTGTATGAACTTTGGACGGACGAGACGGCGATATAGGATCAAGGAGCCGTTATATTCAGTTGGCGCCATCAACCATACATAGAATATACACTGTGTACATAAATTCATAATTTATAACATACGGCAGGGTCTGGGTATCTCTAATTTTGAGGAGTCCTATAGAGCGGAAATTTATAATGGTGTGGGATGCGCAAAGCCAGAGCGATCAGTCATAGACATAGAAAACGGAATGGCTGCGATTGGTACACTTTTGCTCCACGCGTTCCGCGTTTCCGCTCCACAGGACTCGAGCTTGACAAATCGAATTAAGGTTATACCTTGAATAGCCAATAAACCGGAAACCAGCATACGATGTACTCGGAAAAGAATTCTACTATGGTGAAAACGGCAAAAACGACCCAGTAAGTGAGCCACTTTGAGTCGTCTTCTTTCTTGGGACTTTCCAACGCCTTCATCGATTGATACGCAGGATAAACAAAACCGACTATGTTACACACTAGTTGTTGTCCTAATCCGAAAACCAAATATAGTGCCAGCAGCACCAGTGATCCTATAAACACAAATAATACATGTGATAATAACAGTCTTTCTGAAATACAGCACAATCTCACTGATCCAGCGCTACCGTGGACCTTTTTTGAGGCAAAAATAGTCGGCAAAGAGGCAGACATCTGTTCAATCTATTTTCTTAAACAATACATTTTTTGTACCAGACGCAAAATAATAGTGTAAGTTTAATTATATACTATATGACGTCGTTTATCATCAACTTCCTATATTTCTTGCAGCTAGTGATCTAACAATTAACCCGACGCAGTCTGGTTTTTAATAAGTATCGAGTTAACGAGATTGTACTGTTTCAATTTAACGCTCCGCAGGAATTTTAATTCCGCAAACGGGCGGAAAATGCGGATAAATGCAGGGTACTCTAGAAGCGATAGAGCGGCGGACTCGGCGAAAAATCAACAGGTAGCAGATTTTCGGAAAAGGTCTCGAAACGATGCTGTTCGAGATTATTCATCGGAGAAGCAAAAACGTGACGTAAAAAAAAAAGAGGCGAAAAAAGGCAGGCACTCGTTGCGTAACGAGCGGCGGCGATAGCCAGTTCCGTCCAACTGCGGGAACGCATTAACGTGCGGCTGAATAATTATCTAAGTGCGTGCGGTCATGCCGGCCAATCAATAAGAATGACTGGAAAATCCGCGTAATCGTCAGGCGCGAGGCTCACCGACAAAAACGTATAGCCGATCGACGCCGGTCTTCTCCTCCGCGAGGACGAACATCTTCGTCCATGGCTTGCTCTCGTCCTTCAACGTCTTTTCGAGATACTCTTTTACGGCGACGATCCGGGCCATTTTTCTGGATTAAACTGTCCTTCGACGGAGCCGTGTGCGCGTTGGTTAACCGTGTACCTGTTCGCCACCAGAGAGAGAGAGAGACATGGCCGACGTTCGATATCGACCGATCGACGCTTCTTTCTTTCTCGACCGGCGTCTCGCGAGAGTCGAGAATCTCGAGATATCTCTACCGGTCGCTGTTCAAAAATGCGCACGACACCAGGGGCCCCGATTCTTCAATTCATTCGAAGAAACGTATACAAAAATTCTGCTCCGACAGAAAGTTGAAAGTCGACTGGTTAAAAGCCACGCGAGTAGCCAATCAACTTACAACTGTTCTGTAAGAGCAGAATATTCGCATACGTTTCTCCCTCGAACAAATTCAAGAATCGAGCCCCAGGAATCCACCCCCTTTTTCCTTTCAAACGCGATACTTTTGTAACAAAGAAATTTTTATTGGTTTTTTTTACAGATTTAGCTTTTTATTAACATATCAACAAACGGCTCAGATTTTAGGCGCACGTTATATCGTAAGAAAGTCCATCTTCGTGATAACCTCGTACCGAGAATAAATTAGGCTGCGAATTTAATTCCCAAATTATCAAGAAAACGAATCCTCTCCGGCTCGTCTTATTATTGCAACGCGAGAGGTTACGCGCGCGCAGCATTGAGACCGACGTCGGTGCTCAACGGTCGCGCCCGAATTAATCTCGGCAATATCAGTTCTCCTTCAACGAAATAATATACATCTTCAAATTGAAGAATCGTGTGCGGTTCTGTACATCTCTATACAACTAATCTGTAGGTCTATGAACATTGAGGATGTGGCGTGTGACTGTAAAATATATAATATTTTACGAAACGATCGTTGAGCAAGTTTTAAGCGTTCACGGCTGGCCCGAGTCGGGCGTGCGATAGGGGATTGAAGGGTGTCGTATTTCGAATGCCTTTCTCTAAACAATTGGTATAAATATCGGCGGTCAGTTCGCTCAATGGGATCTCCTTGTCGTTCTTGGCAGCTTTCATGGCGTCGTCCACCGACTTCCTGATTTCGCCCTCTATTGTCTGGAACAGAAAGAGCTCGGGTGTTGACACAAATAGTCTCAAATAACGTTAATCGCGACGTATAACGAGACTGACTTTAATTTCGTCCGCAGTGACGAGATTGGCATTCAAGATTCTCTCCTTGAAGCTGGTCAGGGGATCCCGAGTCTGCCGGACCTCCTGCACCTCTTCTCGCGTACGATAACTGGTCCCGGGATCCGACATGCTGTGTCCGCTGTACCTGTACGTCACAGTTTCCATGACCATCGGCCCCTTACCCGACGTGCAGTGATCGATAGCGAATCTCGTAGCTTCCCTCACGGCCAGCACGTCCATTCCGTCCACCTGCGATACGATTTCCACGTGAGTTTCGTTTATCCGAGTGAAACAACTTTTGTTTCCAAGAGAGAAGATAACATACCCATATTCCAGGAATATAGTCGCCTCTCGTGTAGTATTCCGTGCTTGCCGCGGCGCGTTCCACGCTGGTGCCCATCCCATATCCGTTGTTCTCGCAGACGAAGATGCAAGGTACGTCCCACAGTTTGGCCATGTTGTACGCCTCGAACACCTGCCCTTGATTGGCCGCGCCGTCGCCGTACAACGTTAGGCAAACACCGCCGTTGTTCAAGTACTTTTGTGCAAAGGCGATCCCGACTCCCAGAGGCACCTAATCGCAGCGACGTTGGGGTATTAAGGAAAACTTTGGGACGACAGGCGGTGTTAAATTGAACTTTAGGATCGATGTGTGAACCTGAGCGCCAACGATGCCGTTCCCTCCGTAGAAGTTTTTAGAATACATGTGCATGGAACCGCCCTTGCCTTTGGCGCTGCCGCCTTGTCTGCCTGTGAGTTCCGCGAAGACGCCAAACACGTCTATGCCCATCAAGTAAGTCCATCCGTGTGCGCGGTAAGCCGTGATTACAGCGTCCTGAGACCTCATCGCGGCCTTCATGCCAACCGCGCAAGCTTCCTGCGTGGAGAAACGCAACAAAGAACATTGTAGCAGTTGTTAAGCAAGTTGTTAAGCAAGATCGATGTTAAAAGGAGATGCTGGAAGGTCTTTACTTGTCCGGAGTATAAGTGACAGAAGCCCCGAATGATCTTCTCTTTGTACAAGTTGCCGGCAGCGGTCTCCATACGACGTATCGTGTGCAGCTGCTTGAACATCGCGATAGCGTCGTCCCGAGTCACCGTCACCTGAGTGGACGGGCCGTGGTCCAGTTTGTGCAGGCGAAAGGGCTTGGTCTCGAAGGAGGCCTCGGTAGCATAATTATTTTTCTTGCTCGAGAAAAACGAGGCCACCTGGAAACATCAGCGAGTGTACACAGGCGTGCGCACGCGGAACCGCCGTCTGCGCCGAAAGCACCAGTCTACCTTCGCTCGCTCGTCACACGTCGACGAAAGATAGAAGACGCTCTCCGCGCTGACGGCGTGACATAAAAATACGTCGCGGTGCAACTGTGTGACGCGTGCGACAATGCGAGGTTTGCGTTGTCTCGTGAATCAGTGGTGGTGTTCCTTAAAAAAAAAAGAAGAAAAGGCCCAAAATCTCGGGCACTTGTGTCAACGAGTCAATCGAGCCGAAAGCAAACACAAGCGGGGCAGCGTTAATGCGAGAGCCGCGGCGCGGCCAATAATTACCTCGTTCCAGCTCCCAAACTGGCGAGTATGCGAGATACCGAGGAAAGAAGAAGAACTCGTGAATTACGGTGTCGCAAGTGACCAGGGGTCCGGGGGGGGGGGAGGGGAGGGGAAATTCGTAACGAGACCCTGACACGGAAAGCAGGACGCGGGCTGCTTAGAGGTCACGCACTCGGTGCACTTACGTTTCGCCGTGACGACTGCGCGGCGACGTTCCTGAGGCAGCTCGGGATCATCTCCTGGCGACAGGACGGGAATAACAGCGGGGACAGAGTTCGCCTTTCGCCTCGTGACGGAGCTCGGTAGCGGAGCAGTTGCGGGCCTCGTCTCGTCGCGCGGGGGATCCACCTTCACCTGACACGAAACCAACACGGGCTAGATCTAGATGGTGCACGAGGGAGTGCACCGGAGTGCAGACAGCGGGAGGCGCAGCGCGCGCGAATTTCAGGGCGCTAGAGACGCGCTCTCTCCCCTTTCCCTGCGCTCGCTTCTTCTCTCGCGCCGCGATAAGAGAAGTCGCGCGTCGAATGCACGCGGCACCGACGCCGCGCCCGCGGATCTTTTTCCACAAATTAAAGATCCGCCACTGCTCTTATCGCCCTCTCGTCTCCAGGGATGCGGTGACATTAACTGCACTCGCTGCACATAAAACGACGCGAGATAGCAGAGGACAGGATCGCGGTGGAAGCGAGAGAGACTGCGACGAGAGGTGCAGAATAATTGGAGAGACGAGCAGGCACACTCTCGATCCGCACTTTCTACACCTCTCGGCGCAATGACAGCGTAATCATATGTTTTTTTCGAAAACGTGGGGGTTTCTCTCTTCAACGCGCGGAAAACAATGAAAGGTAATAGTACGCTCTCCTTCAAACATTATCTCTCTTTTCTTTTTTTTCTTTTGTTTTATCTATTTCCGATAACGATACGCCGTGGGTTTTACTTCACGGGCGTGACTTCGGGCAATTTCAGAAACGAGTTGAGGTTCACGCTCCGGATGGGATGGAGGTCGACGAGCCGCGCGAATACGAGCGGAAAGTTGTCACCTTCAGAGACCACGGCAGATTTAAGTTAACGGCGAGAGAGTACAACGGTAATTCTCTCAACGTATATACAGCGAGGCTGAACGATCTGCGGGAGGACACGTTGCGTAGAGCGAGACGGAAATGGAGTAAGCGACGTTCGCGCACCCGGAATCTTTTTCGCGCCGCGTATTTCCGCATTATTTAACTTGACGTGTGTTGCAGTCGATTATCCGTATGTGGAGGTCTCACGCCTGACCCTGGAGACTCCAGGAAGGTCCTGCATTTTGGTAGGAGTACTTTACAAGGACCAGAGGCTGAAACCGTCTTTGCTGCGCGACCTCAGCAAGGAGCTGCAGCTGGAAGCTCAGCCGAGCAACAGTTACGCGTCGGCCGATGACAAATTGTTTCTGGAGGACGAAACGCTGCGTGTAAGATTAGCAGGCGGTCACATGGACGTACAGGAAGTAGTCACGGGGCTTGTCTGCGCGGTGCTCGGCCGTGAATTGGAGAACGGGACGTTCTGGGTATGCGCTCACACAGTTAGTCTACGGACAGAAATCGAATTTGCTGATGTAAAACTTTGCTCTTAGGTGGAGGATTGGTGTTTTCCAGGGTACTCCCCGAAGCCTTCCAGCTCGAGCGTCTCGTCGGTGGAAGATGGGAAGATTCTGCTAGTGTCCGGATTAGATCTGGTTAGTAACACAGACGAGCTTAGCTTGGATTTACTTTCGGAATGGCTCACCGGAATGGCGGGGTGTGCCAGTACTCAGAAAGAAGAAGCAGTGATTGCTAGAATTATTATCGCTGGTACGAAAACGTTCATGCCCTCTGACTTGCGATGGTAATTCATAGTGTAAATGATTGCGTAGGAAACGCCATTCGTGGTTCTGCCAAAGTATACAGTCATAAAGGCTATCACGAGATCAAGTCGCACGACCAGCTTAAGATCAAGGAAGATGTGATGGCGATGCATAAACTTGACGCCTTCCTCAGTAATATTCTCCACTGTTGTTGCGTTGTGCTGATGCCGGGGGAGTTTGATCCTACTTGCAATTACAGCATGCCCCAGCAGCCCTTCCATCCGTGTACTTTACAGAAATCGGCCAGGTAATACGATACGTCGAATCTCCGCGTCGAGCTTCCTTTACACAATACAATTTAGATGTGATACAGGTTTAAGAGCATGCACGGTGCAACTAATCCTTGGATCGCAAGTATTGGAGGTCGTGTCGTGGCCGGTTCTTGCGGCGGACCGATCGTGGATATCATGAAAATCGCTGGATTAGCCCAGCTGTCCCCGTTGGAATGGCTGGAACGTACTTTAATCTGGAGGCATTACGCTCCAACCGGTCCCGACACGCTTGCGACTTATCCATTTTTTAAAAACGATCCATTCGTTATGGACGAATGGCCGGACATATATTTTGCCGGAAACATGGACGAATACGATACAAAATTAGTTACAGGTAGGATTTTCTAAAGTCTAACTTGATTATCAACGTTTCTTCTTGTGAAATAATTCCTACTTGTCACGTGTAGCCGACGAGGGACATGCGGTGAGATTAATATGTGTTCCGAAGTTCTCGGAAACCAAAACAGCGGTGCTAGTCAATTTACAGAACTTGTCGACACAGCCTGTTTCATTCGGTGATGGGCTGGCATAATAATTTGTATTATATAAAAAATAAAGTAATTGTTTATTGTATATCATTGCAATGGAACATCGTATAACATATTGTCGTATAATCTTCACGTAAGGAGCGCAAGAAGATTAATATAAACTTTGATCAAGTTTTTCAAATATATAATTAAATTTATTTATCTGAATATATATTAGAACACATATACTTTATATATAGTAAATATATATTTATTTATTACAACTAAGTAGCCCGTTTGTCGTTACATATACCTTAATAACGCATTACATAAACTTATAATAATGAATTAAAGTGTAAAGGAATATAAAAATTTCTTGTAAAGTGAATTATAATGAATAATGAGTTTTCATAATTTCATAACTCATTCGCTATTTGTTTACATGTGAAAATTGGCAATCTCTTAAATTTCTTCGCACGTATGTAAGCACTTACACATTAATATAATATTTCTCTGGTAGTCATTTCTTTATTATCATTGTTTATTATCGAAAAATAATATAATGCCCCATATGAAATAAATCTTGTAATATTACTATTAATATATATACATATATGTATATATGTATATACTCTTATTCGTTTCTGCGATGAATACTATCTTTCTTTGGCACATACAGTATTTTCTTAGATTATTACCTCAGTCATATATAATACATCGTTAATTTTGATAATACTTGCAGAGATGCGTTGGATATTTTTAAAACATAAACGCATGCACGATTAAAGAAGGGAAGACTAATCGAAATGCCGTTGAGGATCTCAATCTCAATTCGTGCTTTATCTCGGTGTCGTTCAGCGTTGTAACTTTTCAGAGGCCTGTAACATTATCCTGGTCCTCTTCCCACCGCGAATGATTATTGTGATAAAAATTTTGAGTTTCCGTACCGCAGGATCTGGAAGCAACGGGAATGTTTACGCGAACAGTGGTCGATTCCAATCGCTGTTCGCTGTTTGGTGAATCCTTGCGTTCGGAGTCGCTCGTTTGCTGATCTTCCGATCGTTCCTCGCTTCTCATAGCGCATATCACATCTGTAAGAGCCACTATGTAATTTTTAGCCAGCGTTAATGTCTCAATTTTCGAGAGCCGCCTCTCTTTGGTGACGTGCGGGATCACTTCGCGTAAGGACTAGAAGAAGAAGAGTATTTACTTGTATGTTTACAAAATGTGTGTCTTAATTATATATTGTTTACTATATAAATAAGAATTAGATCTTTTCGAAGAAATTAGACAAATTTATTGTTGTACGTATTTCTTCGCGCAAACAATCTTTCTTATCGTTTTTATCCATTTTTACGTTTCAGGTATAATATATAATATCTTCACGCACCTGAAACGCATCGTTCAAGCTGTGCATCCGCATACGCTCGCGTTCATTGCTTTCCAGCCTCCTGAGAGTTCTCTCCCGTGCCGTATTTCCCCTGGAGGGTTTTGACAATTTCTCTCCAGAAGATTCCGTTCTTTTCGTCGTTCGTCGCAAACTCCTACCGCCCTGCGACGATTCCGTAGCCCATTTTGTCTCCCAAGTATTTTCAATCGTCACCTTAGACCGCATAGTACGTTCCTTTCTTCTAATGAAGATATAATTAATAAACACTCTCAGTAATTAAATCACACCGATCACGATTTTGGAACAATCTTTGTGACACATCTTTCTAAATGTATATATTTCCTTATTTATCGTCTCGAATTTAAGTCGAAAACAAAGAACATTAGAGTAAGAATATACAAGAAGATTTAATATGCGAAATTGACGTTTGACATTTTCTGTGACTTACTTTTTGCGAATGTCGGTGATCGTTGATTAATCGAATGTAAATGATAATACTTGATCTTGCTCCCACAGCTGGTGTTGTATTCGTCGATTTAACACATTTTAATGTCGCATAATTGTACGGCAAGTCACGTCGGGATTTTCCAAAATTTCAAACCGTGAACTGGGCGCCGCGTGTACTTGTTGAGCCACGCTGGAACGACTACTGACGTCGCGACGCCGGGGTGCGGCCGGCGCCGCCTTCCACCCCCGGTATTTTGTCATGTACTCTGTGTGCTCCTTTTCTTCCACCCACCTCAGTCGTTGTATCATACATTCATCGATACGCTACATCTTCATACAATCTTTGGCAATGTAGAATAACGAATATTTGATCGCGATATTTAAAGCGACACCTTCCGATTGAGAACACTTTAATTTGTATAAATTAATTAAAACTCGGCGATTTATATTCATTTTTTTCCACGCCATTTCTCACACGATTTCGTCAAACAAGTCGAATTAATAATGTTCACCAACCAAAAATGTGTACCTTACGTTTTAATGTGTTTTTCTTTCAATAGTTTGAGGCGAGTGGAAAAAACGAGTAGCCAGCGCTGGGTTTTGTACACCCTATATGTACAATATTCCCGTGTCTATGTGTAAGCGGGCTACAGGTGGGCGTATGACGTAATTCGCCCACGCGGACCCTCCTATCTACCCATTATCGCTCCGCTAGCAACAACTTAGGGATGACGGGGGTTTAATATGGACAGCTCTCGAATGCACCTGCTCGAATTTACATCATGTTTAATGAAAAACTTATTAAAAGCTGTGCAACCATTGGAGAAGAGCAGGGAAGGACATTCTCATCTAATTTAACGGGTTGACAATTTCACGACCAAGTTGAATTACATATTCGATTTATTTATCCATTTTACATTTACCACAGCAGGCATCGGTTTTTTCTAACTCAGATTCCTTGTGATTAGCGGTCCATGGCCCGCGGCTGATTGTGGCGTAGAAATCCATGGGATACGGCTGATCCTTGTCGAAATCTGCCATCCTAAGAGCGACGGCGCCTTCGTAGGGGGTGAGAAATGGTTTCTCGAACGCGACACCCCAGTCGATGCTCAATCGTGGACACGCAATCTTGAACAAAACATATTGACATAATTCCAGCATAACGTACAGATTTTTTCAGCTACGTTTATATCGACTCGATTGAAATTTTTCTTCTTTCATAGCTCTTTTTGAAATTATATCTTTTCAAGTTAAATTTTTGTTTCCTACTAGCTTATAAATCAAATATAACAATGTTAATGAAGGAGAAGGGAAAAACATCTTAAAAAAAATCTGATGTCCGCTTCTTATCAGAGGGTCGTACTTGTATGAAAGCGTCAACATTTTTGAACAGCTTGATTTTATCCGGGAATATCTCCGACAGCAATATCACGACATTTTCCTTTCCTAATGCCTCAATCCTATTTTGCAGAGTTCTCAACACATTAGGACTGCCCTGCCTGCCCAGAGTACTAAGCACTAAAGCATATTTGTCCGTTTCTGTAGCACGTTGTATCGCCTCGTTTCTGGTCTTCAGCATTCTCTTGTGATCATAAAACTCCTCGGTCAACTTTTTCGCGTACGGGTCGTACTTGAATGCCCTCAGTTTAGGATTAGCGATCATAGCAGCCTCCAAGTGGAAGCGGCCATCCCCTATGTAGACCACAGCATCGGCGCAGCGGACTTGCGGCGCTGTGCATCCTAAAATCTTTAAAAGCCATTTTACCTATCGTGTCAACTTGATGATTAAGTGTATTAAAAAACGCATCGTACTTCTCCAGGGCTAAGGGGCTTGCTCTGCGGCACCGAGACTTCGTAACCTTCCCTTCTCAGTTCCGTCGCCACCGCTTGTATCGTTGTAGCAAACTGTATTGTACTGACCAGCGCTACCTTTGTGGTAACTGGTAAAGTGACTTTCAGGCAATCCACGCAATGCGAAATGTCAATTCTTATGTTGACAAATACATAGAGCACTTTGATACCAGCAGTCTGATCCACGGGTATGAGACACGAGTGCCCATAGTGGACCAGGAAGTCTGCATTCAACGCTCGTGTCGTGTAGTCGTCCACACAGCAAGCTCCTGCAGACAAACGGCGTTACAAATGACTGAAAACATTGGGCTACTTGGTTAGCTTTACCGTAAGTGACGTCGGCCATAATAACAGTCTCTGCTTCGGTGAAGTCTTCGACAATATCAGCTATGGTCGTGGCATACATCAGGAGGCCTTCCGGCATCTGGAGAGCCACTCGCTTCGCCTTGGCCTCCCTGATTCTCCATATCGTCTTGTGTATCTCGAAGTTGTAATTCGTGGGCAAAGCCGCTACGGCAGAATTCAGTAGAGGATCGTTGAGGAGTTCGTCGGGAATCTTGCTGGCTCTCGTGGGAGCCTTGAAAACCTTGCGTACAGGCTTCGCCTTGATAACCACCACGGAATCGGCCATCTCCTCAAGCCTCGCGGCCGATTAAGTTTTCCCAAAGATATTTCGGCACTGGTCTACACAAGCGTCATATTGTTTCTGAATAAGCGGCAATTGCACAAACGAAAAGAGGTGCAAGTCAGATCGAGATTAGGTTATGGACAGAGGCGAACATGTGGAGTCGTGAAACGTATTTCGACATTTTACGAAAAACTTACTGCGATATACGTACGAGTTGCAGATTTCCGCGCGGGTGTATTTATTTAAGGGCGAAAAATAAAATAATTATCGGGAAGTAAAAAAAATAAAATCTCAAGCAGGTCCCACCGAGATTTGAACTCGGATCGCTGGATTCAAAGTCCAGAGTGCTAACCATTACACCATGGGACCTTCGCTAGGAAGGTTCTCTCTATTACCATCTTTAGGAAAATGTATACATATTCGAATAAGAAGTGTCGCTGTTTCATAAAGAAACGAGTCAGTTGCGTTTCGTACGAGATTCTAGTCTTGAGAAAAATAATTTTAAGAATTAATAATACACTCGTGTTTTCCGTCTGTTCAAAAACAACATAGAAAGTAGGCACCTTCAAAAATCTCTTCTGTCATCTTTCTTTTTTTTAATTATCGACGCACTTTTCTACTTTATCGATCGCTTTGTCGTTATTAGCTGTTTGTATAGAGCATAGACCTATATCCATAAACATAATATATCTAGACCGAGCATTGAGCAGGGGGGGGGGGGGGGGAGAGAATGTGGTACTATCTATGATATAGATTTTCTAACCTCAAATACTTGGCGCTGATCGTTTGAACGTCTGTCGTTTGCACGTGGTTTGTGCAGCTCGAGTCTGCAGATTAATTCCATATATTTACGTTATGGATACTTACGATATTTTCAAGAAGCTCGCACTGGGCGTCCAATTCGATAAGACACGTTTTCGGTCAGTCGCAGAAAGATTTCAGGTAACTTAATCAGGTAATTTAATCTCTCGAACGATAGTTTCTCGCGTGCTTCTTTAGTATCAGGCTAATATATTTTTTCGAATAGATGATAAAACCGAAGAAAACTGACGATACGACGGTGAAAATAAAGGAGGAAGTATTAGAGCCTGATACAGGGGGCAATGCAAAGAGAAAATATCAAGATGAAAACGAAGATACTAAGGAGATAACATTGCTGAACGGACTGTTGAAAAGCGAGAGTGTTCCAGCCAAGAAACGTACAAAAATCTTGACTACTGACAAGATGTTAAAGCTGGAACAAGAAAAGGTTTGAGATTTACACAATGAAGTAAATACAAAGAAAAAGAATCCCTTTTATTTCATACCTAGGGTGCTTTCCAACAAGAGACACAAGGTGCGTTTGGGCAGCGCGCTTTTGGTGCTAAAAGCGTCTTCTATCGTTGTTCGACGTATAGTGAGTGACGAAGATAGACTGATATTTTCAGCGCTAATAGCCTGAGGGCGACGTCCCACGGAGCAGAATACGCGGAAGCGGAATCAGCGGATCGCAAGACCGTTTCGATGGAATTTTTTTAAGGACTCTATCAGAACGATCTTGCGATATTCCGCTCCATGGGACATCGCCCTGAATCTCTCTGAACGCAGCCACAGATTCATTTTTATTTAGTGATGGCAGACAACAAAGATAAAACAATTCTCCGTGTTACGCAGTGTCGTCTGTGTACGTTGCTGGAAAGCATCCCTAAAGTGTCTTTTATCTTTCAGATAAATCATTTGAGGAACGTGAATCGTATCTCCGTCACGGGCAGTCATGTACCTAAATTAATATTAGATTTTAATGAATTGAAGACAAACTATCAAGTGCCAGAAAATTTGTTGAATAATATGGCAAACAGTGGATATGCGCAGCCAACGCCCATACAGATGCAAGCAATGCCAATTATGTTGGAAGTGAGTAAATTTCTATATTTAGATTAATTGAGGTAACATTGGTAAATATTTTATTGTCTGCTTGTTTTATTAATGACAGGGTAGACAGTTACTGGCTTGTGCTCCGACGGGGTCAGGAAAAACTGCAGCATTTTTGTTGCCTATCATTTACAGTCTACGGGGACCGCAAAAGAAAGGGTTTCGCGCGGTTATCCTAAGTCCCACGAGGGAGTTGGCCAAACAGACGTACAGAGAATGCCTGAGACTGAGTGACGGCTATGACTTCAGAATTCATATAATTAATAAAGTAAATCAGGCTCTCACCAACTATGGGCCTTCAAGCTCGCAGAAGTTTGGTGAGTGTAAATTGCAATATTTTTGCAATTGCAATGCGGTATGAAAATTGCATAGAAATCACGTTTCTAAAATTTATTTGTGTTTCAGATATCTTGATCACTACGCCAAATCGATTAGTCTTTCTCCTAAATCAAGATCCTCCAGCCATTTCGCTAGAAAAGTGAGTTTTTCGCGGTTATACTTTATCGATTATAATCAGATTTAGGTGCAATAATATTCTTTTTGCTCTACTTATACAGCGTTGAATGGTTGATTGTGGACGAAGCAGATAAGCTTTTCGAGGAAGGAACTCGTGGGTTCAGGGAACAATTAGATGAGATTACGAGAGCTTGCGTTAACACAAATTTACGCCGTGGTATGTTCAGCGCGACTAACACACCAGCGGTATCAAAGTGGTGCCGTCAAAATATGAAGGGTCTTATAACAGTGACAGTTGGACAAAGGTATGCGCGTCTCGGTGAAATTCCATGAAAAACACGAAAACTCTTAATAATTATGTTTCCTTGTCATTACAGAAATGCAGCTGCAGAATTGGTAGATCAAGAGCTTATCTTTGTTGGTTGCGAAAGAGGTAAATTGCTGGAACTCAGGAACATTGTTCGAAAGGTAATTTGATTTTGTCGCAATATTTTATTACTCCTCTTAAATAGAATGGCTGTTACACATATTTTGAATTCTCAATAAAGGGTATATTACCACCGGTTCTGGTATTTGTGCAAAGCAAAGAGAGGGCTCAGGAACTTTTCCAAGAACTTATTTACGACGGGCTTAACGTGGATGTTATTCACGCTGATAGAACAATGACACAGGTATAGCAAAAGAAAGAGCGTTTTCTTCTAACAAGTTATTTAATTGTAAATTGCACATTAAGCATTGTATTTTTTCCAGCGAGACAATACCGTGCGTTGCTTTAGAGAGGGAAAGATCTGGGTTTTGATCTGCACAGAATTGATGGGCAGAGGTATAGACTTTAAAGGTGTGAATCTCGTTATAAATTATGATTTTCCGCCGTCTGCCATCTCATACATTCACAGAATAGGTATGTATTGGTGTTATCAGTGAGCTCTTAAAATAGAGCTGTCCTGTTTCTTTGACGACACAGAGAATATTGCACACTTCTGATTATTCTCCTTTCCCTTTTTTATGTTAACAATGTGCTCAGCTTCAAGTAGGAACTTTTCTTCTCTTTCATTGTATATGCCGTTACAATAAAGAGAGGTCGCGCTCTTATATAGAATATAATGAACGGACATTATCATATGTTAAGGTATCGTCTCGCTACCATCACAGTATTTCCTTGCATCACGCCAAATATATTTCGCGAAATAGTATGTTCAGAGAAACGGGACGGCGTCGATCTGCGGAAGCTCAGTTTTCTTACTTGAACATATTCTGAAACAGGTCGTACCGGTCGTGCCGGACACAAGGGAAAGGCCATAACGTTTTTCACTCAACAGGACACGGTCAATTTACGAAGGTATTAATCTCTACATCTACGTCCGTATAAATGTGTGTATTACAATAATATAAAATGTTCTTTTTCTTAGTATTGCAACAATTATGCGAGCATCCGGATGCGACGTACCGGATTACATGTTTGCTATGAAGAAACACAGCAAGAAGGAACGACGAAAGCTCGAGCGAACGGCACCCACGCGCGAAAAGATATCGACTGCACCTACGTATAAACGACACAAGCGAAAATCGCGTGTCGGAAAGAAACCAAAGCTGGAGGAGGTGTAATAGTAAGTACGATATATGATACTCATATGTCTTCGCAATGTAAATTAAAAGTTTAACAGACTGTTTCCATAGAGATTTTACATCAGGATATTTGCGTATAAAAAGATTTGAAGTGAAGGTAGAGATTTATAAATAATTTACTTGCAATAATACTTATAAAATCCTGTATAAATCTATAATTTGTGAAAATACATATGATACATTTCTTAACAATCATATGCTCTAAACAATAATATGATTTTTACAAAACACTTGTCATGGATATGTATACGGAGATTATTTTGAAATCCTCTGTTCTTCAATGGAAGAGCTAGATAAAAATACTATCGTCCATTATATGCGTCGTTGGATATTTAATAAAATATCTTGGGCACTTGAGAGGCACATTTAACATATTCTAACAGTATCCTATTTTTCTTGCACAGTTTCATTGCATACATTAGTTGCATTGCACATTATTAGGAATTTTCATTACGGGTATTCACGCGACCTACGTTTCGAACAGCCAATCGCATGGCAATTTTGGCATTTTATTCGCTGGCCATGGAAGATATCCTGCCGTTTTGAACACCCAGTAATCATAAGACACTTTGGCTATCAGACCTATCAGAAGTATCACTTCGGTAGCGATAATATAGTATATATAGTCGGTCCAGTCTCCCGGATACACGCACATCTTCGACGGCTCCAGATCTACAACTTTCTCCTTTACATTTTCGCACATTACTTCGTCGGAGTCTAATATTCGCGTTTGTAACCATGCCTGAAGCAAAAAGAAAACGGAGAAAAATACTTTAATATATTAACGTCTTATACTCTTTTTGTTTTGTAACGTCAAAGGATGGCTTTCGTCTCACGCATCGAGCACATAAATCGCATCCAATGCACTGCGCGCAATTGATGTTCCGTTTCCATTAACGTATCTATGCGCTCTTGGAAACGGAGCAGCTTTTGATGCATTTGATATGAAACGGAGGCTGTCTCCAAATTTACCGCCTAGCGCTGAAGATTCTATGCGTTTAATGCGTGAAACGGAAGACATCCATATTGTACCTTTAGATGCTTAGCGGTGTTACAATCGCAGTGTAGCTTGTTGCCTCCTAGCCTGACCAGATTTCTCGAACTCATGAAATTCTTATTGTGTGCGCTTGAGCTTAATATATATGTTGGCAACTAGAAATAATATTAATTTTATGATATATGACGAATACATTTGATTTTATCATTGAATTAAATATGCTTCTCTACTTACTGATTTAATTTTATTGTATCGTAAACTAAGGATGGCATAATTATCCAGAAACTTGGAGCCCTCCAACTTGTTTATCGAGGAAATATTATTATAATCCGCATAGAACTCTCGTAGATCTTCGTAACACGGGTTGGTACTAAGATTATCCAGAACTGTGATCTAGAAGAAAAATTCAGGGGGAAGCATCGCATTATAAAGAAGCACAGTTCGTACGTGATAAATAATATAAAGCCTCACATCTCGAACGTACATTATTATAGGAAACGTTGAGGGCTATGGTGTTTTGCGGCAATTTCTCGGGTAATTCCGTCAACTGCATTCCGCTACAATCTACAGTTACAGCGTGTGTAGGCGGCTTGCCCTCGATAATGTCTAGTCTCTTGATCTCGCATTGACATTGCCAGGTGTCACCTTGTGGACATTCTGTTTGCAACTAAAAGTCACGATTAATCCCAATTGCATCTCATACAGAAAGCTTTCGAGGACACGCGTCAAGACGTACCAAGCTCAGGTAAAGAACCTGCGAGAGAGGCACTTGTTCAGTTGTGTTGAACCAGTGCCACGTCGCCAAGGCGGAACACACCGTCTCGTTCTCGCGATTAAATGTAATTTGCTTTTCACCCGTTTTATTGATATACTGATACACATCGTGGCACGAGAGTATATTTGTTCCTGCAGAAAAGAAGGTGATGTGTTAATTAAGGCGATGTGTCAATGTTTGACTAAGATAACGATACCGAACGGCAGCTTGTTTACCTGAGATGTCTAACCAGAATTCTCGGCCGTTCATCGTATTCAAAGCTGGAAGGTAAGTGAGTTTATTATAAGACAGATCCAAGGTGGTGAGTTGCACCAAACGCGTCAGCGAATTATTTTCTACCTCGCGCAGCTCATTATTCGACAGATTTAGACACTGTATAGGCGTCATCATGCGAAACTGCCCCCGCAGTCGATTGATCTTGCCATCGGTTATGGCCAGAGATTTCAGCATCCTCCAACGAACCTCACTTACATTAAATACGTCCAAGGTTGCGTTACGTATATGCACGTAGCTTATGTTCGAGTGTTGAAACCCTAGACAAGTGGCGAAGACGCTTGAGCGTAATGAAATGCATACTGTACTCCGGTAAATAAAGGGGGAGAAGTTGCGTTGCAGCTCTTACCTATGCAAGAGAGGCCGTCCTCCAGAGTCTGTTGATCTGTATTGCAGCAGAGCGCAGCGTTGCCCTCCGGTACGTGCGCGAGGGTGATCCTCTTGCAGGGGCATCTGCTCGAGTCCGAGGGACAGTCCACTGGGTGCCTGTAGAAACACTGCTCCGGAAGAGAGTTGGAGACTCCGCCCGTACTCGACGTCTGCTGGTCCTCCTCCGTGCGCGCACTGGCTACCCCGGCGCAGAGGCACAGCATCAAGGCCAACCACTGCATCTGCATTCGATGTAATCATGTACGTTGCACGTAGAGTTTGCTGGCACCGATAATAATTCACGGGTGCTCGCCAGCAACGTACACAGGCGACACACTGTGCAACACAGCGAGTGGTTCCATCTTCGTTGTCCGCCGTTGTTAAACGAGGACAAACGATTCTACATTGTGTCAATTTGCGTCTCCCGCTGGTAAGCACCCGATATCTGGATCGCGATGAAGTTTACCTTCGGCGTCAATTGCCGCGGTCTGGTCCGCGCGCTCGAACGACCTCACTTGAAGCAATTGTCCCCCGGTCTGGGAAGAACAGTCTGCGGCCTCGCTGCTGCAATTAACGCGATGCTACGGCGCGTTTCCCCCGTTCCCGGGTTAATTCAATGAGCATACTCGATTGCCGGCGGGGTGGCGCAAATGAATTAATCCGTTTAACCGCGACCAACGACTCCGGATCGCTCGGGTCGACCCGTTTGATGAATCGAGATTGGCCGGTCGCGCGCGTTCATTACACTCGCTCGACGGCGAGCCGAGTGCCGCCAATTAAGCGATAAAACGGGGGAAAACGCGTCGTTATCAGCTTATCGAGCGGCTGTAACCGCGAATCATTATCGCCGCATACGCGCCGCGCTCGTCGACTGTTGTTACAATGCAAACCGCGACCGTACCTTTTTGCGCATCGCCGTCTTCTCTTCAATCACGCTCGGCAGATTGATTTGTTTTTTCCCCTTCGTAAAAATAGATACGCGTGTATCTAGGCCGAGGGTGTCGAGTGATAAAGCGATTTGCATTCTTATCGTCCCGAGGAAATCGCGATGGCTCCGAGGATAATTGCAAATCTCTATTACCGACTGCGCATAATTTTGATAGGGACGATATATCGTTTGATACGTCGATTCGTCGGAAACTTCGCGTAATTGCATAAGAACGGAAAGGGGGGGGGGGCATTGCGTATTTGCGTGAAGTTTACAACTGTGTGTGTATCACA